AACGCCGGCTTTTGGTTTTGAAAATCGTTTTGATTTGAAAATAAGCGAAGAAAACAGAGAGAAAAATCTGAAGCAATTTAAATGTCTTACAATTCTCACGTTTGGAATTGAGCCTTTGCTTTAGCATTCGGCTTTAAAAGAAAATTAGCTAAGCATGATCAAAGTCATACTTAGCATATTTAAAAATAAAACTGGAAATAACAATGAAAATTGCGAAAAACTTGAAAGAAAATAGAAGAGAAAATTTTATAAAACTAGAGAGAAGAAGAAGAGTAAATTCTCATTTGCTGAGAGATATGTTTCTAGGCTTACCTTGAGGGTATTTATAGCCCTCAAAATCCTAAAAACAAGGTAAAGATAATCCTAAAATAAAGAAAATAAATCATAATTAAAATACTTAAAACTATTTAAACTAAAATATCTAAAACAAATATAAGATAAAATATAATATAATAATATTTAAAATAATATCCTAAAACATGAGTTTAATTCAAATCTGAATTGCAGAAATGTGTGACTGATCTATTCGTTCTTCTAAAAGCGCTAATTGACCTTGACATCATCGCCTCGTCAGATGTTTCATGCCCACTAATCCAACTTTGATTCCGAAAATTAAAAAAAAACTGCAGAATTCTATCCTTTTAGTGTAATTTTTAGAATTTAGCATCATGCATAGAAAATGAATCAAAACGAACAAATAAGCCAAAAAAATCAATGATTACGGAGCAATTTAAAAGCAAAATAATAACTAAATAAAACTTTTATCAAATTCCCCCTTATTCAATGTTTGTCCTCAAGTATTCATCAATTAATACATCAAAATCATATGTTGTCATCTTCAATTTCAATTTATTTCTCAAACTTCCAATCCAACTAAGTCCATGACATTTGCCGAATTCAAGTTACAATCAAGCGAAGACACAACTAAGAAAATTTAAAGTAAGCAAAACATCTTAATTAATTACCAACTTCAATAAAACATAACTCAATACCTCACAAAGATGCACACATATCCGCTCAAAGTATTTGGGGTAAATGAAATCACTCAAACTGAAACTAACCAAAATATTACCATAGGCTTGGAATCCAATCAAGTCTCCACTACTAAAAGTGAACATAATGCAATAATCAAGGGTCTTTAAATAAAGTGTAACGGGGCTTAGGTATGGGTAGAAAAAAAGTCCGAAAAGAAAAGTTTAAAATGCCAAAACAATATATCAAAATAACTAGGTACAACCTACGAACTAACATGAAGAACAATGAAAAATAAAACAAGGAAAAAGAATAAATGAAAGGCAATTGAAACGGTCGATTTTCCTTCTTTTTTTCATTTGAACAAAGTGTCTCTCTTTTTTCTTTCTTTTTTATGCTATTCGAAACAGTGAATAATTTTTTCGACTTCTTTTTTTTCATTTTTTTCATGGAACAAGAGTGATACAAGATCTCAAGTCTCAGCAAGGGTGTGAAAAGAGAGAAAAAAATAAAGAGAAAGGTTTCGGGTTTAATTATGATGTGTAAATGTGGTTCAATAGTAGATATGTAAATGGGTAAGTTTTTTGGGAAAATTAGGTTTATCCTAGGTGTCCCTATCATATTAAAATATTAGGCCCAATATGTAGTCTTTATATGCTTTGTGATTTCAAATTCTAGAATATCCTAATTAGTTCGGCACACTGAAGTCAAACAATGAGCAAGAAAGAAAATGTATGCTCGTTAGGCTCAAATCTCACAAGAAAAGTTTATATGCACTGAGTCAAGTTCATCTCTATCAACAAAAGCATGAAATATCTATACTCAACAAAAATTCACTAGTTATACCAATCACCATCATGCAATTTAAATTCGATCAAAACATTGTCACAATCCAAAAGGAAACAAGAGTATAAAATGAAGTTCAAGAATAGCAAGTTAAGGAAAAAAATTGGCATGTTTATCCTTCCCCCTCATTTAATTTGTTTTGTCCCAAACGTATTTTAAATTTTAAAACAAAGAGAAGGAAAATGAATACTCCTCAATCTAGTGGAGACCGCGGCCGCGGCCACATCGAGACGAATTGTTGTAGAGTAGAATGTCTGATCGAGAAGTCACCAGAAGATATATTAAAATTTTCTGCAAAACAAAAATCAAGAAAAGAATCGATCATTCCAAGATCTTATTCTAAAGGAAGTAGACTCAAGAAAAGAACTTAATTAAGCTTTATATTTTTCTCTCTTTTTTTCTTTTTTTCACTGTTCAAACTAAAATTGTAATGTTGTTTTTTAACTGCTCAAACAAAAATTGTACTGCTATTTTTTTAACCAAAATTGTGCTCCTATTTTTTACATTACATTGTTCGAATCTGCTGTGTATTTTTCTGCACTGTTCAAATCAAATCTATTTTTTATGTATATTTGCTTGAACTTTTTCTGTACAGTTCAAACCAAATCTGTTTTTTCCTACACTGTTTTTTCTGCACTGCATTGTTCGAATCTGTTGTGTATTTTTCTACACTGTTCGAACCAAATCAATTTTTTCTGCACTGTTATGTTCGAATTTTTCTACACAGTTCGAACCATGTCTTTTTTTTTGCATTATCCGAACAGTGTATTTCGAAATTCTGCTTCCTTTTTTCCGAATGATTCTTCCTTCTTTTTTGCCACACGATCTCTTCACGCCTTGGGGTCGAGGTTTTCGCCATTTTTTTGGCTTTCGGTTTGAGCAATTCTTGATTCTACTTTGCCTAAAATTCAAGTAGGAATAACGGCGTACCTAAAAAATAAAGAGAAATAAAATTGAAAATAAAAAGAAAAATTGAACAAACGAAAATAAAATAATAATAGGTTGCCTCCCATAAAGCGCTATTTTTAACGACGTTAGCTCGACGACTTGATTCAGACTATAGGTTTCGAGAGAAATACTTCATCTATTTCATACGCTTTTTCCAACTAAGAACTTCCTTATGAGAAATTCTACGATCGTATAATTCTTTTATTTTTTATCTTGTAGATTTTGGCTTTCTCATAGGTTTTTCTTCATATATTATTTTACTTTGAAAGGTTATCCGAAATAATAACCAGTGAAGTAGCATTTTCTCTTAAAAATGCATTCTTTAAGTGTTTCGACATTTGCTTCAATTGGAATTGAGTATTTGCTTTAGTCTTTTGTTTTAAAAGAAAATTAGTTAAGCATGAGCAAAGGCATACTTAGCATATTTAAAAACAAAACTTGAAATAAAAATGAAAATTGCGAAAAACTTGAAAGAAAATAGAAGATAAAATTTTATAAAGCTAAAGAGAAGAAGAAGAGTAAATTCTCAATTGCTGAGAGATATGTTTCTAGGCTTACGCTGAGAGAGTATTTATAGCTTTCAAAATCCTAAAAACAATGTAAATATAATCTTAAAATAAAGAAAATAAATCTTAATTAAAATATTAAAATTATTTAAACTAAAATACTTAAAACAAAGATAAGATAAAATATAATATAATATTTAAAATAATATCCTAAAACATGAGTTTAATTCCAATATGAATTGCAGAAACGTGTCGTCGATCCATTCGTTCTTCTAGAAGCGCTGACTGAACCTTTTAAAAGGTTCTAACGTCATCGCCTCGTCAGATGTTTCATGCCCAAAATCATGCCCATTAACCCAGCTTACACACAAAAATCAATGATTACGGAGTAATTTAAAAGTAAAATAATAATTAAATAAAACACTTATCATGTACAAACAACTAAAGTTTCCACCAGGTCCAAAACCCTGGCCTATCATCGGCAGCCTTAATCTCATCGGCTCCCTCCCTCATCAATCTCTTCACAAACTATCCCAACGATATGGACCATTGATGCACCTCAAATTTAGTTCTTACCCTGTAGTGGTTTCACGACCATGTGTTGGACGAAAATAAGCGAAAAAAGAAAGAATTATCAAAGGATTTTGTGCCACGGGACATGGTGGATTTACTGTTGCAACGAGCTGATGATCCTGGTCTTGACGTTAAGCTCGCTAATGATGGCGTCAGGGGCTTCGCACAGGTATATATATTTTGCTCAGTCATCTAATGATTAGATAAAAGGGACTGCACAACAAGTGCTGCAATGCATAATGAAAGTTTATTGTCTGGTAACAGAACTTTATAGCTGGAGGCACAGATACTTCAGCAACAACTGTGGAATGGGCAATCTCCGAACTCATCAAACAACCACAACTCATTAAACAGGCAAATTAGAGCGAGTGATAGGCAGAGAGAGATGGGTAGAAGAGAGGACATCCCACAACTTCCTTACATAGATTCAATCATGAAAGAAACAATGAGGAAACACCCGGTTGCTGTATTGCTAGCACCACACTTGGCCATGGAAGATTGCAATGTGTCTGGATACGATATTCGCAAAGGAACTAGAATCTTCATAAATACTTGGAGCATGGGGAGAGACCCATTATGGGAACAACACAAGGAGTTTCACCTAGAGAGGTTCTTGCGGAGGAAAATGGACGTCAAGGGACAAAATTTCGAGCTGCTGCCGTTCGGTTCCGGGGGGAGGATGTGCCCTGGCTTTACCCGAGTAAAGATGATTCAGTTGAGCTTAGCGAACTTGTTCCATGGCTTCAACTGGGAATTGCTTGACAATACTAAAGTAGAAGATTTGAACATGGATGAAGTTTATGGATTGGCAACACCAAGAAAATGTCCACTTGTTGCAGTTATGAAGCCTCGTCTCCCCCTTCATCTTTATAAAATCTGAAAGTTGATTTATCACTTTATTACTTGTTTTCAAGGTTTGTTATGTTCTCAAACGATTTTGTAATCAATTTTTATTCAAAATAGTTGGTGATGAGCCATTCTTGAACAATCAAAACTCTTCCCGTCATTCAACGAAAAACAAAAAAAAATTCTTATATTTGAATGAATCAATGCAAGTAAAGCAAGTCTTTAGGTTGAAGAAAAACTTTTTTGCCACAGAGCAATATCCAAGGCAGTCTGTATAAGTAACCCTATTTACAGTATGATCTATAGCTTTACTAATCTATACTCTTATGCCCCCTTGCTTTTCAAGTGGATCGGAGACATCCTCGGCGACCTGTTTTGATGCCGATGTCCATGATGGAGTTTGTGGTGTCTTTGATGATCTTTCTTTAACTCCTTTTTTGGTTCACTTTCCTTAATGTCGTTGTCCTCCTTTTGTGATCCACTTTCGGATAGAACAGTATAAACAAAGGGACCAATTGGGATATCTTCATAGTCCTGAAGTGGCTCCAATGTCTGGACCACATCACACATTTTTGGTCTTTGCTTTGGGCGTTGGCTAAGGCATTGATAGGCCAATGCAGCCGCCTTTCGTGCCCCTGTTTCCGAGTATGATCCTTCGAGTCTCGGATCCATTATCCGGCCAAGTTTCCTATGATCATTCAACATCGGCCTTGCCCATTCTACCAAGTTCTGCTCTCTTGGGCTACGGTTCTTGTCTAAAGATCTCCTCCCAGTTAAAAGCTCCAACAGTACCACTCCGAAGCTATACACGTCGCTCATTGCCGTTAAATGACCTGTCATGACGTATTCAGGGGCAGCGTAACCTTGTGTACCCATAACCCTGGTGGAAACATGCGTGTCATCCCCTTCAGGACCATCTTTGGCGAGACCGAAATCCGAAAGCTTGGCATTGTAATCCTGGAAAAGAAAAACATGAATCGAACATGACATCAGTAAACTAGGAAAATCCATGTTACTTAGGTAAGAACTTGAAAAAAAATAACAACACTTACAGAATCTAACAAGATATTTGATGCTTTGAAATCTCGGTAAATGACTGGTTTTTCTGCTTCATGGAGATAAGCAAGACCCTTGGCAGCTCCGAGAACAATTTTCATCCTGGTCGCCCATGGAAGAGAAACCGAATACCCTGCACCAAGGAAGCTCGACATTAGTTTCGGGTCTCGCGTTTCACATTAGTTTCTTTTATTAACAAATGATGATTTGCAGAGATCATATATACTTCTGAATAGCTGATTCTCCAAGCTGCCTCTAGGCATATATTCATACACCAGTAGTCTATTGTCTTCTTCGCAACAATATCCTATCAGCTTCACCAGATGCGGATGACTCAATTGTGCAAGAAAGATCACTTCAGTCTGCTCCAGAAACAATCATTTAATAATAATCAAACGTCAAGCAAAATATTGATTGAAAAAAATACACATATAAATATACTCACCAGCCACTCTCTGTGTCCTTGCAGGCCTTCTAGATCCAGGTTTTTAACAGCCACAGGATGAGCTTTCAACCCAGGCCTAAGCTTGTCATCAATGAACCCTTTATGAACCTTTCCAAACCCACCTTCACCCAGAAAATTAGCCGATGAAAAGGTCTGTGTTATTACTTTTAGCTCCCCAAGCGTAAACACATGAAGATTGGAACCGACGAGCGACGTCGACAAATCTTCCGAAAACATGGAGCTTGGATAACTTAAGTCTAACATGGCAAACCTTGTCATTGAACTTTGCTTTGAATCTTCCTTCTTTGGCTTGCCTTCTGGTTTCACAACACCCTTTGAACAGCTCGGGATGATGGATCTCAAAAAAATCTTTATCACTGCCATTTTCCTCCCAGTATCTGCAAATTCAGCTCTATATACAGCATACATACAAGAGTTTGACATTTATATATATATATATCATTTTGATTAAGTTGGTAAAGTGAGAAGATAAGTCCACAAAAGTTGGTTCAATACAAAATGACGCGGCTGCCCCCTTTGACTTTCTTTCTTATTTTCCATGAAAAGTAGAAGTTTGTTTCTTTGTATGAAAGCACAATCGGAAACTACTTGTTGTTCTTTTCCAGAATCAACTCTCGCTAAGGTAACAATCACAATACAAAATTCAAAGGTGTGGGTTTATTTTATTGAATTAAAAAATGAAAATTAGGTATTAATCCTGCAGGAAGAAAGAGAACAGCGTGTACCAGCTGGTGCACACTAAAATCCGCCGCGAGAACCATTTTATCTTTCCATTTTCTTGTTAAACAACTCGGAAATTCTGGGTTTGTTTTAGACTTCGTAAACGAAAGAGGTTGGCATAGTTGCATATATATCTTCTAGAAGATTGAATCAAAGATGGTTGACATGAATATGATGAAAGTATATTGTATGCATGACGGTCAAACGACATGCGGATCATCATCAGCTTGATCACCACCGCGTTAACTGAAGACTTTCTCTCCATTTTTCTTTTTCTGGATTTGATGATCATGATCTTGTCATGAGTTTTGATTGGTTTGTGATAATCATATTTATAGGCTTATTTTCTTAAATATAACCTATTTCATATTATTTATAGATTTTCGTTCTTTAATTTTCATCTATGATAATTTTATCACGTAGGATAAAGACACGTTATATAATATGTTATTTTGTTTATGTGAGCAATACAATAAAAATTATGAAATTTGTTTAAATAGAATAAACATATACAATGCATGTCAAAAACACGTATTTGCATGAACATGAATACTTCCTACCAAAATGTTTTCCGAAAAAACCATGTATAACATGGTGTGCCTTTATTAAAACAGTGTCGATCTTAGAATCATTCTCAATTGATATAAGATGCTACTATAAAATCACATTAAATTGCTTTAAAAATAACTAACTGAATTTAAATTAACTTATCAACATAAATTCAGTCATATAATATTTAATATTTCCATCCATTAAAAATGATAAAAGAGAAAATGTCTCACTGAGGCAGAAATTAGCATCATGTGAACTGCTATGTAATGACGTCACGTTAAGAAAGTCAATGGACAATATTGTAACATAGGTGGAAAATTACGGCCGCGTTTGTATGAATGAAACGAAAGTCATTTTAGACCAAATATATTTGTACAAAATATAAAATATAAAACAATAATATCTATGGAATAAAAGAAAGTGTTCAATGTGCATAGTTGCATGGTTTCTTCACAAATTCAAAACAATTCCATCAAAAGACACTGCTTTCTTTGATTTTGTGCATAAAAACGAAGTTGTTGTTGACATTTTAAAGCGGAGTTTGCGGGGATACGGAGGCTGGAGAATTTTCATATGATAAAATTAATTATATAAAGGTAAAGGGCTTAATTACAAAATAAGTGTGCTACATCTTTTTCCTAAATGGCAGCGAAAATTTTATCTGCATAACTTATTTATTAGTCGTATTTGGTAAATTACCTAATAATTTGAATTGAAAAGTAATTACGTAATTGTGATATATTTGGATAATTATTTAAATGTACGTGTCTGGTTAAATTTAGTGTAATTGAAAGTTTTTTTTTATCATACTTTTTAATTTTTATGGAAAGTGTGAAATTTGGTAATTAGACATAGGAACGAGTAAGGAGTAGGATCCAATTGGTTCAGGTATGACTTGGCTTTTTTAGGTTCGGATTTTTATTTTTTAATAATTCAGATTCTATTCGGATTCAAGTTTAAGGTGAGGATTTTTAATATAATTCAAGTATTTTAATATAATTATCTCTTATGTATGGTTAGAGATAATTTTAATAATACTCATCTCTAAATATTTTGTTTTAGTTAAGTCTTTATTTTACCTAGTAACAATATATATATACTTATGTTGGATTGGATCGTGTCGGTCAAGTGCGAACTTTTATTTCAAAAATCGAGTTAAATATTAGATCTAGTATAACCTCCCAAAACTAAGATTGAATTAGATAATGAGTGAATGAATATAATACTCGGGTTAGATTTGAATCATCAAAAACCTAACTTAACCCGATTCATCTCAACTCTAATTACACATTTAATATAACACTATTAGTATATATTAGAATTAACTATTATAAAACACTGTCAGTCTAATAATCAAGATAAAATCAGGCATAACTTTTATATATATATATGATACAATCATTATAAAACACATTCAAATTAATAATTATAATACATCTAACTGATTGTTGGATCTCTGAAACGCATTTCCTTTTCAGGTGAACTACCGAAAACAAATAAGGAAAATGGAGAAGGACATGAAACACGAGGGAAGATTACAGGGAAAGATCCTATGTAGTCAAAGTCAATTATTTTAAGGGCGTTCGGTTCCAATATGGTGTTAGTGGAAAAATATCGGAAACTGTGGATTCTTTGTCAACGCATCCGTGTAGCGGTTTGCGTTCAAGTTGTGCTGGTTACTACTACTTGTAGTGACAATAACAAACACAGCCGCAATTGTGGAACTCGGTAACTTTGTTAGCTCGGTCGGTTCCCGTCAGCCGTCTCGAGTCGTACAAATAGAGAAGACTTGACCCAGAAACCGGGGTCTGTTGGGCTTGGCAAGAAAGGACGCGATTGATGATCGGGTCTTGTGGGTTCATTTAGGTTTAGGGCTCTTGGTGGGTAACAATTTCAACAAAGGTGTGTTTTGCCCATATATAACTTTTACAGTATTTTAATGTAATTTAAGGGTAAACTACTATTTGGGCATCACCAACCTATTCTTGTATTTCTATTTTAGTTATCCAACTAATTTTTTAAAATCATACCTAATGTTTCGTTTGTTTTTATTTGGGTCACTCGATGTTAGATTTGACCGTTGACTTAACAAAAATAATGATGTGGCATGGTATAATAGCATTTTTAGCCCTAAAAACTTACACATTCTATCTTTTTAAAACTATCAAAGTTTAGGGACTTATAGCGAGAATGTTCCTTTTTCTTATTACTTCAAAATTGTCGATCATCTCTAACGATCAACCTCGTCGTCGCTTTACATTGTATCTTCACGTTGTTGATTCCATCACTCTTTGTAAATCACGACCTAAGAGTAACCCTCACTCCTTCGTCGTTCGACTTTTGTCGCAAAAAATCCTCATTATTTCGGTAAGAGTCTCCCTTCTTAACATTTTCGACTTCAACTCCCAACTAAAACTTAATGGTAGCCTTCATTGGACTGAGTTTGCTTTACCATCATTTCAAATTGCACCCTAAAGAGATCCGTGCCTCGCCCTTATTGTGCCCTTTTGCAATGCCAAGTCCCTATGTGCCCTTCTGCCCTACATTCGAGTGACTTGAACCTTGAAAGCCCCTCACCACACGCCGCACCTCGCCTGAGCATGCACGCACCCCTTCTGACCATGTACGCACCCCTTCTGATCGAACCTAAATCCCACATCATGTATCCATCAATCAGAACCTTAAAAACCCCTTTGAAACCCTCACACCTCAAAACCCCATTGAAAACCTCAAACTATTATTAAGGACTAAAATCGAAACCCCAAAAATAAGAGTAAAAAGATAGAATTTGTAAGTTTTGAGGATTAAAAAATTTATTATACCGTACAACGACCAAAACATAAACCTAAGAATAAGTGAACGAATGAATAAATAGACAATTTATCAAAAATTAAATTTTTCAATGAATAAAAATTCGAGTGATAGTATTAGAAAAATCTATTCCGGAGAAGCAGGAACAACGTCAATTCAGTCACTATATTGAGGACGAGGAAATCAAAGTTGCATTTGAAACGTATCTAGCAAGTATATATTAATAATAATAATAAAACCAAGTTTAATACACTTAATTTTGAGTTTGGGATACTTAAACCTTTATATTTTATTTTTTTGGGTATCCCAATGTGTCCCCAAATTTCGCCTGAGACTAATTCTCGAGTTACTGTCGGGCACGGAAAATGAGAACCTATTCCAAAAAAAATTCTATATCAACAAAGACTCAAATTTAAGACCACTTATAGGACCCTTCCACGGCCAACCTTCGTTGGTAAACCTTTATATTTTATTATAAAATATTAAAATGCTGTATGGGCCACACAAGAGAAAATTATTAAGTGATGGCACTGAAGAGCAAGTGTGTGATGGTTGTCCAACCAAATCATTCCAGATAAGTAGCCTGGAAACTAGAATAATAAAATGGTCTAACGGCGCTTTTGGCTCTCAAATATTTAAGAGAAATCATTTTAATCCTTTAACTCTTTTAGTCTTATTTTTGACTCTCGAACTTCTAATTTTTTTATCAAATTGAATCAACTTATGAAAATAAAATGGATCTGTTAAATTATAATCAATTGTTTCATCTTTTTATCAATATCAATGTCAATTATTTTATCATTTAATATAAAAAATTAAAAGATATTCAAAGAAATATTTAAAAATAACAAATATCTACCTATCTTCATTCTCCATGGGCCATCATCTTATAATAATACACTAATACTTGTCCCTTAGCTCCAAAGAGTAGGGTCTTGTTGTCTTCAAGTATTTATGTTCATACATTAATTTATCCTCCCAATCTACACTTCTGTTACTTAAATGATTACGTCTTGCCCATGACCTTATTTCCATTTCCTTAGATATTTTTTTATATACTTATTGTGTGATTGAGAGATTTTAGAAAGGTTTAATACAAAAATCTCAAACTATGCCTTAAAAATATTTTAGTGTTTAAAGAAATTTTTTTGTTAAAAATAAGTACATAATATTTTCTGTGTTATCATTTTAGGTATTCGAACATTAACTATTGTAAAAAATCTTCGTCAAGTGACATTTCTTACATTATGGTAAATTTGAGAATTTTTATTTAAAATAAAAATTATATTTTTCATTTTTT